TAGCTGAGTGAGACTGATTTTTCACAGCTGCAGTCCTAAAGAGCTATTAGGAGTGTCATCTAGCAAGCAGCCTAAAGCTGGTTTAGGTTCAAATCACTGATTGAAGCCCATTTTCCCCAGCTGAGAATCAAGCCAAAAAATTGGCATCATCAAACAAATAATTCCAACTCTTAAATAATATAACAACTGTTTCTTGTAGAACAAATGCTTTTTTTATTTGTTTCTAAAAATTAAGAAAAATAACAATTAACTGAGGCCACTGCTTGTATGATGGAATCTAGGCTTCCAATAGAAGTAATACAGCTTTGCTAGACATATGAGTTGTATCCGCACTTTTCTCCCTCCCCCTTCACCTCATGTTCATTTTACCTTTAATTTTGCTTCTCTTAAGAGTTTTCTTCTAACTTTCTCATTGGCTGCCAAAGGATGTGGATTCTTTGGGTAATTTCCAACAGGTCCCTCAAATGTGTTGTGGTTAGATCTGTCACTCTCTAGCTGCCCACAACATACATTCAAGTCAGTAAAGCAGAACATAATAAATTAAAAAGGTCTGAGCACTGTGGTTGCTGTACTAGCCCAGTAACATGATCTCCTTTCAAAGGAATGCTCCACTTGCCACCAAGCTAACAGCTTTAACCTTTCTTAGAGGAGAGATATACCTAAAACTGAACAGATTTTAAGAAGAAATTTGTTCTCTAAGCTATTTCAGCATACAGTTTAAACTGAAATCCATATTAAGTCCTCAGAACAGTAATAAATATTCCTTTTTTGAGGTAATTTTTGAGACTCAAAACATTTTCCTTTACAGAGCTATCACTGAATATATGTTCATGGGAAGCAGTGCTCTCAAGCCCAGTATTAAAAGCCAAATCTTCACCTACTTAAACTTAGTATGCTTGACCCTTTCACTAGAGGGATGCTGATTTACAGAGGTGAGAACCCAGATTTAAGTGTTTTATTCTATGAGCAGACTAAGAGAAAGTGAGAGATTGAAAGTTTTGCTGAAACTTCATCTACAGTGTAGCAATTTATCAAAGCAAGGCAGATATTGGGAATTTCACTTTGCAGGACAAGTATTGCACACATGTTGTTGTAACTCAGCATAAAAATGTTCTATCAAGTTTCAACTCTGAAATTAAAAAGCACAATTACTCTTTTTCCATTGCAATAGAAAAACATGACATACTAAGAAGTAAGAGCAATGCATTCTTCAGATTGCAAGCAGATTGCCCATGGATTGCAAGCAAATAGAAGAAACAGAGTCACATTTTTGTATGAAAATAAAGTCATTTCTAAACTAACGGAACAATAGAACAAGATGCACTACAAGTGCTGTGCCACAGATGTTATTCGCGAAAGTTCATCAGCAAAAGAGCACAATAGAAGGAAGGTATAGGCACTCAATTTCTATTTCATGTACAACCACCTTTGCAGTGTAAACATCCTGGAGGAACTGGAATATTTGGGATCATATATTATTCCTTTTTTTCAACACACTCAGGGGAAATTCCACTTAAAAATCAAGGACGCAGTTTGGTCTTCAAAGTTTTTGGGAATTTCTGCAAGTTTTTTTCTACATCAATTTGCCTGATATTACAAGTGAAGGGTCAAACCTGCAGGTGGTGTAAATCAGCACAGCTCTGTGAGGGCTTTGAACTTATGCTCATTTACATCACATGGAAGTTATATTTCTCACCTCTTCTGTGAGTAACTGCGCATGTATATATATATATATGCATGAGTGTGTGGTGAATACATATTATATAGAAAGTGAATGCTTTGATGTGTCAACTTGAAGATATAAATATAAAACAGGAGACAGAATATGGAAATGATACATTCTGCATTTACTTTCAAAACTGAAAGTTACGGGGAAAGAAATACTGTTTATGTTCAAGGAGAACCTGGTGATTTGCTTAAATAATCTAAAACCAAACCACCGTCACATGAAAGATTGAATAGCTTCCTGTCATGGTTGACAAGCTCAAGCTATGACTTGCTAACTTTTATATAAACAATTACTAGACAGTGACAGATCCATTGTAGATGCCTTACTTCTACTGTAGAGACCCTGGTGCAGCAAAGCACTCAAGACAGTTAACCTTAAGCAACTGAATTGCCCCAGAGAGCTTAGTGAGCTCACTCACTTGCTTGAAACTAGTCCTATATTTAATTTGAGATGTGCCTTTTAACTCAGTCATTAAATAGCAACGCACTTCAACCTATGCATAAAGCAGCTGCTTTCTTATAGGTCTTACACACATGCTTAAATACGTTTCTGAAAGAAGTCTGTGTGGTTTGATTTTTCAAGATCCTGATTGTCTTAGATGTAATTCTGCAGAGGATTCAAACAGGTGAGTCATATTCTATTCATTAGAATCAGTGAGATCCAACATTGTTTAGAAGTTAAATCCTACTTCCAAACTCTACAGCATACAGCAAGACTAAGCCAAAAGAACAATGAATATGGAGAATGCTAATCCCCAAAATACACTGTATTCACAGTTTATTCTACAAATGCAGTTGTTTATTCAGTATCATGGTTTAGACTATTATAATAAAAAATTTAAGATGGTTTATGAAATCAGTGATGCCTCAGTAAAGGAGGGTTTCAGTTCCCTATTCTGATCTGTGCTGCAGCAAATAAATAGCATGCTTTGCGGGGAAATGGCAAAGGAACTCGGACAGCCTCTGACAAGCTTGTTCCTTACAATGCTGCTGCAGAACCAGCAGCAGTGGCTATGCTACTATGCACCAGCAGGTCACTATTGTGCTTCACCATCCAGGAGGACATGGCTGTGTGATTGCCTCATGCTGCTGAGGTGGCCAAGCCTGCTACTCACCAACCTGCTCTGGATGATGCTCAGGACGAGGGTTGATGGCCAGCTCACTTTGGTACTGCTGGGGAGGAATACCCACTCCAGCCAAGCCCTAGCTTGCAGATTGCACCCCCATAGCTACACAAGCATCTCCTTGCACCTCATCTGGAGCATGTTCATCTGCATCTGCTAAAATCTTAAACAATAATAGAAATGAGGGATTTTTCCAATACAAATAGTTGCTTCTAATAGTGTTTACAGCTACCTAGGTGTGTGGTTTTTCTGTTTTGTTGTTTTTTTTTCTGAAGCTATTTCTGCCATAACTAATTAGTGTATTTATGGAAAGCGAGGAAAAAATCAGTGGCAGAAATGTCTATTTTTTCCTTTGGCCATAGGTTTGTTAAGATTGTGATAACTATGATGAAAGAAGAAAGAAAAAAAATCCCAAGCTTGTGTGGGCCAAGTCTCTAAATAGGATAAATCTAGGCAGCTGACTGCAGTATTATTCATTTTTAATTAGTTTGAAGCTAATAGTATAATTTGTGCTAAACTGCAAAATCGACTGTCTTCACGAGGAACCAGCTTGACAACAAAGACAAATTAATCCCTGCAAAAATACTCTTTCTCTAAATTCACCATCAATATTCCTCATTTGAAAAGTGGTATGCTGAGTATGTGCTTCCATTAGGCTGGTTTTGAATCACGCATTCACTTTTCTTCCCTATCACTTAAACTAGAAATGTAAGAATTTGAGGGCGTTTATCATCTCATAAATGTACCTGTTGTGTAATTATGCAAATCAGATTAGAAGCAGTCAATGGAATGTTTATTTGTCAAAAAATCTGACCCAGATTTCCTGCTGACTTTCTTGGGATGTGAATAGATTTTACCTCTGTTCAAACATAATTTAATGTAGGCATTGATTTTGCTGCACTGAGATCTACAGCCCTTTGCACAAATAGCAGTGTTCTAATAAAGTGAAGAAATCCAGCTACAAAGGGAAATTATAACCCAGCTATATGGATATGTTTGAGAAGACACTAAATTGTCACAATTCTGAAAGATAGTGATTGTACATTAACAACAGTGGGCAGGGCATTGGGTATCAGTCTTCTTGGGCATTTGAACTACTATGTGGAAAGGAAACAATGTGGTTTGGTTTTGATTTTTTGTCATATGAAATTGCTCCTTCTCCTTTGCAGGAGACATTAAATTCACTGTAAGTATTGCTCTACCTTTGTCCTCTGATTGTGTTTCATAGACAAAAAAAAAAACAACAAAACAACCCTCAAACATTTTATAGCCATTTCTACTAAGATTATAGACATGGCCATTAAAATGTTTATCTTTACAAAAATCAATGGAAAAAAAGCAAAGCTGTGCTTATAGTCATGACCTTAGCCTTGTCATTCAGGAATATGACTTTAACAAAAAGCATTGCATCCATTATGCAGCAAATTCCTTGAAATCTTAAAGAAAGAGATGGCACCAGAGGGCAGTCACTGCAGTGCCATTATCTCCTGTTCTTCCTTGGCTCACTCCTTTCAAATATTGGTTCCTCCCCATTTGCGGTCGTGTACACAAGACGCAAAAAAGAGCTGATCAGTTTTTTCTTAAAAACTTTCTCCTTAAAGTAAAACCTGTTATTAAAGCATTTATATATATATATATATGTCATATATATAATATATGTAATATACATTATATATATAACAAAACACAGAAGGCTAAATAAAAAGAGCCACACAGCACAGCAGACATGTAAAATCACAATTAAACAATCCTGTACTTAAACTTAGAAACTGTGTGGAAATTTAAATCCCTTGCTAAATGGGAGAATTTCTCTTACTTTTTTCCTTTTCTTTTCCCCGTTTCTTGGTTTATAATTCACATTTAAAACTTTTGTTACTGCTACACCAATACCAGCTCTTACATTCTCCAAGTGAATTGCCTTGTAAAATTGACTGTAAAATAGGGTTCTGCGGAAAGGAGAGATCTGAGCATAGACAGCTCTTCTAGCAAGAAACAGATACATATTTTTCTTTAAAAAAAAAAAACCCCACAAACAAACAAAACCAAACCCACAGAAAAACAGTAAGAGAATAAATGTTGAAATCCACGAGAAAAAAAAACCAACGTATGGCCCTCAGTCCCAGTAACTGGTCTTCTTTGGCACTTGAGAACGATCACAAGTAGTTTGCCTTTTTATTCATATAGAACAAAATTTACAAAGTCATTCATACATTTTTGTTTTTGTTTTTTTTTTTTGTTTTTTACTTACTTCGAAAATTGGGAATATTCAAAATACACTTTTACCCCACTTCATTCTTTCATTATTTACAGGTATATACAAGAAAAATGTGAGAGTTTGTTTTGTTTTTGTTTTTGTTTTTTTTTTCATTTCTTTTAAATTTTGTATTAAAAAGCTCTGCTGGTTGTTTTATTGTTAGTTTTCGTCATATGGATGTTCCATGCGAGGGCTCCATTGCTTCTGGAATGACTCCCCCTGGCACAGACTGAAATGACATTGGGATCGGGGTTTTCACAGGACTCTGACGAAATAGTCCTCCATTTGGTGACCTGTGTTTACACTGTATGGAGGGCATGGTGGCTGAGCTGCTCAGGGGCAGCGGCAGGTTGCTGCCTGAGGCAGCTGTGAGTGTCCTGCTGGCACCATGAGTTGTCTGTTCTGGTAAAAAGGTAGTGACAGAAAGTTGTGTGTTCTGGTATTCACGTACTGGCTCCAGGGTCTGAGCTGGCTGCATGCCACCAATCTCCAAGGCTGAAATTTCAATGGATGCTGGAGAGATTTGCTTGTGGGCTATGTCTTCATCAATTAAACTGTTCATGCGTCTATGGACCTGCTCCAGGTTCATTTCTTTGTCCTAGTGAGAAAGAAACCAGAACAATCAGTCCAAACACAATCTCCAGTCATGCCCGGCCCTCTTCTTCCTCTGTGGGACAGGAGTTGCCCTTCACTCATTACATCATTTCAGTTTCATCTCTGCATATGCAAAATCTCAAGGTCTGCCCAACATCTCCAGCTGAGAAACACACAGAAGAAAACACCCGCTCAATCTCAGCCTGCAAAAGCCCTGATGTTGTCAGACCTACCATCCTTGGAAGTAAACTGATGGCTCTGGTTCAGCTAACAGGAGCTTGCACCAGGGACCAGCACATCCCACAAGCCCTTAGCTCACATTGCACAAGCCCGGCAAAAAAGCATATGGCAGACAAACAAGTGAGTTGGGACTCCAAATTCCAGTGAGCAGCTCACCAATTACCACTCACAGCTTACCACTGTCTTATCTACTTGCAGTATGTTTTCTAAGGAACATGTCAGTAAAACACCATACGCAGCCTAGGTGACTTCAGGGTGATTGGCTTCATGTGCCAAAATCTAGTGGTTGTGGTGATAAAGTCTCCCTTCCCAGCAGGAAGCCCTGGGTCACCTGTGTGGCACAGATTACAAAACACTGAAACAGCACTGAGGGAGACCTGGGGAGGGGACGACTCATTTCTGTTTTGAATAGTTGTGTGACCAACTATAAACTGGCTGCCACCTTGACAAGTCATCTGGTAAAAGCTTGTCTCTGGTCAGAGCTTGGGAAAGTAACACTGATCCTTAGCAAATGCAGCAGCACCTTCTAAGAATGCATTGCTTAAGGCTCCCGGGGCAGTCTCTTGAACAGACTTTCAGGACCACTTACTCAAAATGTTTTAACTTCCATGAGGAAATACAGCAAAAGAAGTCATCTTTAAAACCTAAAGTAGAAAAGACCTACAATGGGCTGTTTATCACCTCAGTGCGGCATTCAGGATGCTCAAATCGGAAAGCAACAAAACTGGCAGGGTAATGCCAACCACCTGCGATGCTGTATGATTGAATTTTAATAGCTAGCATTGTATTGCCAATAAAAAGATATTATATTGCATCATTTCTCTATATTTCATAAACCACAGCTATGATCTGCAGTTGTAGTTATTTGATGCAAGTATAACATACAACAGAATAGCAGCAAAGCATTTATAAAAGCTCAACAATCCTGGAAAAGAAGAAATTCTCGGACAGAAGCCTGTAATTACACTAGGCAGCCAGCAAGATTCCAGCCTAAGTAGTAGGACTACCTGAAACTTTTGTGCGGCAGTAATCCCTGACTGTCCTCAGATCAAGATGTGCTTAAATGTTTGTTAAATCCAACACCAACAGTCTTACAGATGCTCTTACTCATACCACAGACTAGGTTCTGGGAACAGAGAAGTATAAGGTTCCACTTCCTCCTACTCCTCATGATCTTTTGTCAGTTGTTTTCAGGTGGAGCACAGAGAATTGTAGTATTATTTCAGTGGTCTCCACTAAAATGCAAACCTGTAAATTGACAAGTCAGCTCCAAAGCCCTTGATTCCAGGCAATGTCAACTACAGATTTGATTCTAAACTTGTAATTTAACACCATGTCTACATTACTCAAGAACTGTTGGGTTTGCTGATCTGTGCATGGATTTGGAAATGAACTAGTGTTACATGATAATGAGCCCAAAACTGTGTCCTTAGCTTAGGCTAAATCCGCATTGATTTCAACTGGAGTATAACTGTTCCACAATTACAGGGCTGAGCTGCACACTGCATCTCCTTTGCTAATAGTAGAAAATGAATTCCTATTTCATATACACCACAAATCCACCCAAATCGCAAGGAAGTTCACAGAAACCTGGGGGATATCATCTCCCTCACCAAAGGGAAAAACCCTATTTTTCAAAAAAACACTGTTGTTGGGGTTTTTTTTTAAGCAAATAACCAGATCATTTTTAGTTAGAGAAAATCAATCAACAATAAATTAAAAAAAATTACTTTTGTGGCAGAAAGGGACCACACAATACTTTAGCAGATAACCCCTGTAGCTGTGGTAATTTCTTCTTGCCAACAGCTGTACCTGACTTCTCAGGCTCTTTATTCAAGTAAGTCAGACAATGCACCAAACAGATGATAACACAGAAGCTTTTTCATAAACTCTGTGGCTAAGTAAATGAAGGATTTGTGGTACAATGGCCAGAGGACTACATGGATTTAATTCATAATTTTATTTATTTCTCTCTCCTGAGGTAAAATTGTAGACTGGGGGCAACTGTGAGAAGTGTTCCTCCATGTCCCCCATTGGGAGTAAGGGCTCGAGCTCTCTGGGCGGGTTTCTTTTGCACAGAAACCCAGTTGTGCACTGCTGTGTTTTCCTCAGGTGTCTGCTAATAAAACCCTGCTGCAAAGTTCTGCTTATCCACAAACTTCAGGTACTGCCACTTGTGACAATGCCTGTGTCTAAGGAAGCTAGCTCCCAGAAGCCCATTATATAATGCTTCTTGAGGTTACTTGTACTAATTCTTTTCTCAAAAATGCTGCTAAGCCTGATTTAGACTTCCAAGTTGGCATTCTAGTTATCTGGGACCCCTATTCTTGCTAAAGCCCTACTATAAAATAAAAAATAAAAAAAATATTGTATAGAACTCAGGTTAGAACTGAGCAAATACTACAACAAATTTTCCTAAATAAGACTTTGAAGAAATGTTCGTAACTCAGTTGCATTTTTCTGACCTCTATAATTTCAATTGAAAATATACATCAGCATTTTATTTATTTTCATATTTTTTGACTGTAAGCACATCCTCAGTGCATTGTATCCTGCTTTGCTATGGGAACAAATATAATATGACTGGGATAACTAGCCAAGCCAGAGGGAAAGGTAGAGTTTCAATATTTGCGACATGCAGTGATTAACATTTTGCAGAGGAAAAATACATCTGCAAATGAAGTGTGCTCTTCATTTGGAGCCTCTGCGCACAAAAGGTGATAGAATTCAAAGGATAAACTAATCCTGGTAATGTATTTAGCTTAGGTCTTCGAAGATGTAAACTGAAGAGCCACAGATGGGATGCTGTTAAGAGACATCTCTTGGTCCAGACCAGAGGGGTTATTAAGGTAACATCGCTTGGAATATTTCCCTTTGTTGGTCTAACAGGATTGCCCTCTTCTGCTATGCACAGTCCAGCACAGCAGCTGGACTGGGACCACATTCCTAAGAAAATGGATTTGCAGTTGCGTATGTTTCACGGTATAAACTTATGCTTCAGTGTGCTGAAGTTTTCATTATCAAGAAAGAAGTAATTCCTGCACTCAGACATCCTATTTTATCTACAACAAAACACTTTATGAAGTAAGCTGAGAAGTAAATGCTTGGGCTTTTTTAAAAGGTAGGGGTGGAGATGTAATTTGCTTATTTCCAGCTCTTATTTCAGCATTAAGGACAACTTTCGGGCCTTATTAAGATTGGAGAAAACTTTTTAAAGGCTTCCAAGAACCCAGAAGTTCACGTTATTCATTCTTTTTGTTATTAAAATAAAATGCTTGTAAAGGTTGAGGAAAACAACCCTGTCTCTGAGGAATAATAAAACACATTCTTAAAGGTTCCTCTCTTTTTTTGTCTTATTATATGAAGAGCAGCTAAACAACTAAATGTCAAGCTTTGTATGAAACTAGAAACTATCTTAATGCTGAAGAAATGATTTTTCAAATGCTTAAAAAAAAACCTATGATAAAAATTAGAAACGCTTGAAAAGTTTAGTTTGTCATTACGTCACTAGAAAACTGCCTTGAATCCCAAGATTTCCAGGACTGAAGGTTTTGGGATAGCTTTATTTGACAAGCCAAGCTTTCAGAATTTGTAAATTCTGTAAACCTCATCTTCCTTTCCTTTATTGTTCTCCTGGAAAATTCAGTAACAAAGCATATGTTACTTACGGAAAATTAACAAGGTAAATGTAAAAAGGGTTAAATGGTAATAAAGCCAGAAAAGCAAATCTTAAAAGTTATGATTTTTTTCTCACTTGTCAGTTCAGTCCTCATTTATTTTTAGTTCTATAATTCTCATTAAATGTAAGCCATTTGGTATAATTTTTAAACAGTTAGTTTGCTTTTTTTTCCCATATCCTGAGACTTCGTCACTTTAACTGTGAAATGGTAATGTAGCACTGCAAGAGGTTTTCAAGCTTTCTAATGCTGTAGCTATTGTCTATTTTTGCATTTAATGAATTAAAATTAATAAATTACTATAAATTAATAATTGCTTCTTGGATCTAGGGAATGGCAGAGGCACCAAGCCTGGCATCTGGATGAAAAAACCAAACATACCCAAAGTGGAGGGTCTAGCTTCAGCTCCACTTAGCTCTTGTTAGGTCTCTTCAGGAGCTGAATGAATGAGCTCCAAACTTAATACTTCAGTGTCTGTAACAGACGTGTTACCAAAGGTGTTCCCTTTCTTTTTTGTACTTAATATACAAAAATTAACACTATAAATATAACATCTCAAATGTTACATGCCAATTCACTTTTCATATATAGCTACATTGCATAAATGTATATACCTGTGTTGTCAGAAAGAGATTAAACAGTTTTCCTTTGCTACCTTCATGATTCTGTTTTCAGTATTAACGTTGTACTCCAAATAGATCAGTTGAGGAAATTAATCAGTGAAAGAAAGAAAGAAAAAATACCACATGTAAGGAAAATTAATTACAAACACAGGCTTATTCTCCTCAAACTTAAGGAAAACAACTAACCAGACACTGCTTCTGGTCAGGAAATTATCTTATTCATAAATACCAATTTAAATGTCATTCCTCCCCAGCGAGTCTGAGTTCTGGAAGGTTGAATGAAGGACATGTTTCTGATATGTCCCAAACACTTGATCATGAGCGACAGGTTCAGTGGCCTGTGATGGACAGCAGGAGCACACCACGGTAACTGTTGATATGGACTTGAATGATGTTCACCAGAATTATCCAGGGACAACTAACCCTGCACAAATGCACCTGCAAGAAACTACAACTCCCTTTCA